GAATTAGCAAAAGCCAGCAAAACAGCAAAAGCCTCCACACATGCAGCTCAAGCCTTAAGATCAGTAGTAAATGGTCACCGGTGGCCCAGAGTCCTGGATGCATCCTGTGTCCAGGATATATTTGAATCATCCAAAATCAAGTGTTAGCACCTTTCTGATGGTCCACTCTGGTGATCTCACACACAAAAAAATACCACACCAGCCAGAAGGAGAAATCCATTTACCAGGCCACCCTCCTGGAACCAGGCCCTGGCCTTAGGGCCCCAGAAGGACCCTCTTAGGTGCAAGTCTAAGAACTCCTTTTTTTTTTTTTTTTTTTTTTTTTTTGAGACAGAGCCTCCTCATTCCATAACCCAGGCTGGAGAGGAGTGGTGAGATCTCTGCTCACTGTAACCTCCGCCTTCCAGGTCCAAGCAATTCTCCTGCCTCAGCCTCCCAAGTAGCTGGGATTACAGGCATCCGCCACCACGTCCAGCATTTTTTTTTTTTTTTTTGTATTTTTAGTAGAGACGTGGTTTCACCACGTTAGCCAGCACGGTCTCGAACTCCTGACCTCAGGTGATCCACCCACCTCAACCTCCCAAAGTGTTGGGATTACAGGCATAAGCCACCATGCCTGACCAAATCTCAGAACTCTTTTGTGGCACCTAGTTGATCACACATGGCAGTGGGGAGACTGTGCTCCAAAGGGGAGAAATGGGACCCGGGCCCACACCGGTCCTAGGCTAAGCTCAGAGCACCCTAACCACATGGCTGCTGGCCTCAGCCAGTCCCAGATACTGTAGCAGGGGAACCTCAGCCAGTCCCAGATACTGTAGCGGGGGAACTTCCTATGTGGAAGGCACTCCAAAGTATAGGGGAGCCCTGAGGGCAGTGGCCCTGCTTGCTCAAGTATAAGGACTCTACTGGCCCTAGAATATAAATTTTGTGGCCATCCAAGGAATGAGATTTAATAAGATCCCACATATCTGCATACTGCCAACAACCTGAAACTCAAACCTGTGCTGACGGTCTTGCCCTTCGTGTTATAGTGCTGCTTCCAGAAGGACTCCGTCAAAATACCATGGGCAGTGAGCCCTGCAACATCACCACCAAATGCAGCTGCCATTCACTGAACCCTACCGTGGGCTGTTCAATCTCGTCTAATCCTCACAACAACCCTATAAAGTAGGTATGATCATTATCTAACTTTACTGATAAGAAACCTCAGATTCTGAGAGCTGAGGGCAATTCCCAGAGTCACAACTGGTTTTTTTCGAGGGGCAAAGCTGAGATATTCTCACATCTATCCCAAGAATTGGTTCTTTTCTCCTACAGCACACCACATCAGATTAGTTAATAACCTGAGCAATTCAACATCTTTGTTAACAGTTTTGAAACATTAATTCACAGAAAAACTGGTAGGCTCCAAGATGCCTGGACCCCAGCTGATGTCTAGACTCCAACTCAGACTAATTAAATAACCAATATTGCTAGAAGAGGGCCCTGGAATTGTTTTTAATTAAAAAAAATTTAAACTCCCCAAGGTAATGTTTTGTTGTTGTTTGTTTGTTTGCTTGTTTTGAGACAGAGTCTTGCTCTGTCGTCCAGGCTGGAGTGCAATGGCGCAATCTTGGCTCACCGCAACCTCCACCTCCCAGGTTCAAATGATTCTCCTGTCTCAGCTTCCCGAGTAGCTGGGACTACTGGCTTGCGCCACCATGCCGGGCTAATTTTTGTATTTTTAGTAGAGATGGGATTTTGCCATGTTGGCCAGGCTGGTCTTGAACTCCTGATCTCAGGTGATCCACCTGCCTTGGCCTCCCGTGTTGGGATTACAGGCGTGAGCCACCACGCCTGGCCAGCAATGTTAATAAGCAGCAAAGTTCAGAACAACTTAAAACACATTTTTTTTTTGAGACAGGGTCTCAATCTGTCACCCAGGCTGGAGTGCGGTGGTGCAATCATAGCTCAGTGCATCCTTTATCTCTGGGGCTCATGCAATCTTCCCACCTCAGCCTCCCAAATAGCTGGGATCACAGGCATGTGCCACCACGCCTGGCTAATTTTTATATTTTTTGTAGAGATGAGGTCTCCCTGTGTTGCCCAGGCTGGTCCTGAACTCCTGGGCTCAAGTGTTCTTCCCACCTCAGCCTCCCAAAGTGTTAGGATTACAGGCATAAGCCACCACACCTGACCAAAAACTTGTACAGAGTGTTCTGAAGACAATATTTGAGTGTCTTCCAAACAGCAGAGGAGATATCCCTTGGCCAATAAGTAGACAGTCATTGATTAATAAATGTGTCAAAGAAGAATATAGAAGAAACTTATAATACAGATCCTTCCACAAAGATGCTAGTGGCCTAACTAGGATCATATATGGTATACTCAAATTAATTAAGGGCTAATTAAACAGTTATATATAGATCCCACAATTTCTTACTTGAAACTTTTGGGGCCAATGCATTTTGGCCAACATTTTCAGATTTTAAAAAGCACCATTGTATGTTAAAGTGTGTATGTTTATATCATATATGACTAACACACTCTTAGAAGGGCCTACTCACAACAAAACACAGTGATATTACCACAGTGAAATATGTAATGGTCGCATAGCATAAATAAAGAAGATAAATAGCCTCACATTGTCAGTCTAGTCAGGTGTCATATCTAAATGAGTTTTGGGGCCACTTTGAAAAAAAAACTTTCCATTTTCAGAGCTTTAGAGATTTGGGTACTGTAGATAAGGGACTGGGGATCTGTCATATGGGCTCAACATAGATCCTGGAAGTATAGAGAGGAAGCGACATTGGAATTAGAAGACTTGGCAAAAGTCTTGTGAATGAGGCAGAATTTGAGCTACAGTGAGTTGATTTTCTGTCCCTGGGAGGTGAGGTCCCACAATGCCTTGTCACCCTATTATCAGCCATGGAAGCTATATTTTCCTGCTTGAGCCACTAGAGGCCTGTATTTTGTAAATGCTTTCCTGAGATAGTCTACATGGTCAGATTAAACAGAAAAATGAAAACAAAACAAAACAAAAAAACACATGACCACTGAGATTTGCCCAAAATGAAGACCTGGAGGAGATGAGCATACTCATCAAACAGCGCCGGAACCCTTAGGGAGAGAAGCTGGAGGGAACCTGAAGAGGATGGAGCCACATCAGAATACTACAGAATATAGGCTTTAATCCCTGGCTAATTCCATTCTCTTGATAATTCACTCCATACAATGGAGACCTTTCACATTTCATTCCTAAATCCTTGGTTCACCTACCAGACAGATCACTAACATGGCCGATTTTCTCTGACGCCTATTCTTCTTTCCCCTCTTCCCATCCCATTTCTCATTTTCTTCTCCCTTGCCTTAGATAACATTTTGTCTCTTTCCCCAGACAGGGATTCGCCCTCAGGAATCTGCCTTGGCTGAGTCATCACCTTTCACCACTTCATCACCACCTCTAAAACATCAGGGTAGCCCACAGATGGACACATACTTCCTGTCCACTATTATTAGAATTACTTGGGAGACAACACTGTTCCTAAGAGGTTATTGCTGGAAGTGAGTCAGAGGTATAAGGGATATATTGAATCAGGGAAGTCTAGGAGGTTACTAGAGTGGTTGCCTGTCTGTGAAAACAGGAAGAATAAAGTAAACTGGAGAATAAAGAAAGAAAGAATAGGAAAATGCAAGCCAGGTCAGAGTAAAGCAAACTGTTCTTCCCTTCAGTCTCCCATTTATGTATGTCCCTGACTTAGTCTATAATAGTCTAGGAATGTGAAGCACAGAAAAACTCTAAGGGAAGGAAATCTCAAAATCCAGTCACACAGTGAATCCTTACAGCTATGTTCTCAGATTCCTCGCCTCCCTAAGCATGACTAACTACACTATTTCTCATTTGAATTTAGAGGAAATAGGCTGAGGAGAGGCCACTTGCATCTTCTACGTATCCAGCCACACAGCTTCTCTTCTCCTTGATTAAGTGTGATACCTTCTCTGCAGAAATTATTCTTTCACCAACTTTCTTGTTCTTTAGAGCAAGAAAGCGGAAATAATACTAAATGAGAAAAAGCCTGTCTCTTATCCCATTCATTCCACATCTACTGGGCACCTAATATAAGCACTATTCTGCTTCTGGACATAATTCAAAAGATTGCTCACTCTCACTTTCTCTTTCTCTCTTTTCCTCTCTCTTTTTCTCACTCTCTTGACCCACCCTCTTCCAACTCCCTGTGCCAGACTCTGACTATAGGACTAACATCTGCTTACATGACTGACTATAGGACCAACATAGCATAAGTGATCAGTATCAGCTGACTGAATCTCTAAAAGGACCCAGATAAAGAGAAGGGAAGGCCCAAAAAGAAAAAGAAGAGGAAAGGGAGAGGCTGGGCGCAGTGGCTCACACCTGTAATCCCAGCACTTTGGGATGCCGAGGTGGGTGGATCACCTGAGGTCAGGAGTTCGAGACCAGCCTGGCCAAAATGGAGAAACCCCGTCTCTACTAAAAATACAAAATTAGCTGAGCGTGGTGGCGCATGCCTGTAATCCCAGCTACTCGAGAGGCTGAGGCAGGAGAATCGCTTGAACCCGGGAGGCTGAGGTTGTGGTGAGCCGAGATCGAGCCATTGCACTCCAGCCTGGGCAACAAGAGTGAAACTTTGTCTCAAAAAAAAAAAAAAAAAAAAAAGAAAAAAAGAAAAACAGGAAAAATAAACGAAGAAAAGAAGCAAAGGACAAAAGCAAAGGTAAGAGATAAAAACAAGAAGCAAAGCAAGGAGGCTGGTAGTAAAAGATGGGAAGAAAGAGAAAAGGGCAGTGAAGGGTCAAGAAAAAAGAGTTCTATCCTTGCTCCAGCCCATGTTCTATCTTGGTCTACAGCAGCACACCACCTCCCCAGCAGACCCCCAAACCTAGTCCCTAAATTTTTGCCAGCTCAGAAAAGGAAGCCTGATCCACATGGTCCTCCAGAAGCCGTCACGGATAGAATCACTTTAACTGCATCCACAACACAGAAGTGCAATTGTGCAAAACCCAAGAGTGTTATGTGATTGTTGTAGAGGCTCAGGGTGGGTAGCAGGGAAGAACATGGGTAAAGGATACACTAAACTCTTCCAGTCCACATCCAGAGACAAACTTAGAAAAGGAGACAAATCGATGGCCAGGACTACAGTAGGGACTACAGCAGCTCTTCACTTACTCCTTTCCAGGGTAAGGGAAAGGAGAGACGGAGAGCTGAGAGAAACGAGGCATCATCACCTTATTCCACCATCTGTAATCCTAGGAACAAAATGCAAGTTGGGTGACCCACAAGGCAAGGAAGAATTACATCTGCATAATACCTAAGACCAGGAGAACTACATGCGAAAGAAGAAGTAAAAAAGGAAGAGGAACAGGAGAAGGTGAAGAGTAAAAAGATGATGAGTTGCTTCATTATCCAGTGGGTAACTGGAGTTTCACGTCATTACAGGTTATAATAATGTGCTTTTTTATAACAGAAGTTAGGTAATTGCAGTTAGGAGTGACCTGGTCTGGTTTGGACAGCTCGCACAATGTCAAATCAAAAGGTCGGGAGCTTTTGTGACATTTTCCCCCCTTGAGCTCACAGGCAATGACAGGACTGTTACAGACAGCTTTGACTGTCTTTAGATCCTCATGGATGAATGCATACTGGGCTATGCAACTCTGATTGGGCTCCTTCATCTTGTGTGCCATCATTTCATTGCATTCTCTATCTGTCTGGTCAAGCCTAAGATAGTCTTTGTTGCTCTGAAAGAGAGCTGAGGCTCTGAGCATCTTGTTTCCTCCAACCTCATCTTCATTGAGGATGGGATCTTCCGGCCAGCCAGGTTGCACCACTTCTTTGTTGCCAAGTACCAGCGTTTCTGTGGTTTGGGTGCCATCTCCCTCCTCAGTGGCCTCAGTTTCGTCCTGTGAGTCACTGGACCAAAATTCATTGAGCGGTTGATCACTCTCCTCCAAGACTGCTGCAGCCATTTGAAGCCCCAGCCCCAGGCCCATCCCCAGGCCCAGCATCAGCATCAGCAACATGAACAAGATCTGCACCAGATTCAGCTTCATTTTGCCTGGAGAGGAAGCGGGAAATGGAAGAACGTGACTTTGAGACCAAAATTGGCTCCAGTAGAGACTGTAGTCTCCCTAAGCCCTACAGCATTGTATTTGGGGTCTCCTCTCCCTTCTCCACATTACCCTCTTCAAGGCAGTGATTTCTCTTTCCTTTCCCATTTCTCTTGTTCCTCCCCACCACATTCCCTGTTGCTGTGTAATAAAATGTGGAAGTTTCCTCATGTTCCTTCTCTTGAAGACTAGGAAGATGACCAGGGGAAGCAGTTCTGGGGTAATTTACATATGGTAAATCAGTGAGGAAAGTTGACATCAACCAATTCTTTTTTTTTTTTTTTCCTTTTTGAGACAGAGTCTTGCTCTGTCACCCAGACTGGAGTACAGTGGCACCATCATAGCTCACTGAAGCCTCAATCTCCCAGGGTCAAGTGATCCTCCTGCTTCAGCCTCCCAAGTAGCTGGGATCACAGGCACACACTACCATGCCCAGCTCTTTTTTTTTTTTTTTTTTTGAAACGAGTCTTGCTATGTTGCCCAGGTTGGTCTCGAACTCCTGGGGTCAATTAATCATCCCACTTTGGCCAAAGTGCTGGGATTGGAAGTGTGAGCCACCATGCTCCTGACATCAATTGATTCTTAAACAGAAATTCGTTCCAAATAACCAGAGAATGATTGAGAAGACAAGTATGTACAGTGTCACACTCTCCTTTAGGGAAATTCTTGTAGAAAGCCTTGTTCTCAACCTAGGACTAGATTTACCACAGAATACCAGCTCTTTATTTTTATCCCAAATTTGCTTTTGCTCATTCAAGTATCTATTACTCTTCTTGCTACCCACCTTCCCCACAAAAGATAAAAAGGAATAGAAAAAGTACCACAGACCATTCTTACTCCTAAGCTGAGGCTGGAGGGAAGATGTGCAATTTTACATCTCAGGCCCCTGATGAAGCTGTATCTTGTCAAGACAGATTCCTTCTACTACTAAAGATCTCTTAACACCTGGGTAGTCTTGCTGATTAACTTTGTACTCTCAGGGAAGAAATGGAATAAGAATGAAACCAAAGAAAATCAAACAATTGACCTGCTGCGGGTTCCCTTACTCATAAAGATCCTAAGGAGGCCAGGCTTGGTGGCTCATACCTGTAATCCCAGCACTTTGGGAGGCCGAGGCAGGTGGATCACCTGAGGTTAGGAGTTCAAGACCAGCCTGGCCGACATGGTGAAACCCCATCTCTACTAAAAATACAAAAATTAGCCGGCATGGTGCCACACACCTGTAGTCCCAGCCACTCGGGAGGCTGAGGCACGAGAATTGCTTGAACCCAGTAGAAGGCCAAGATGGTGCCACTGCACTACAGCCTGTGTGACAGAATGAGATTCTGTCTCAAAAAAAAAAAAAAAATCCTAAGGAGAGCTGAGCATGCATCTTTGTCTGCTAGGCCAGTCTCATCCCCTTAACAAAGAGAGACATTCCCTGCCAGAAAAAAAAAAAAAATTGCTATGAAGAACATTATTGAGGCAATTGATAAAATTATAATCTCTGTAGTAGATAAGAGTATTATGGCAGTCCCCCTCATCCACAGGGAATATGTTTCATGACCCCAGTGAATGTCTAAAGCCCTATATGCCCTGTTTTCTTCCTATACATAGATATCTACATAAGTTTAATTTATAAATTAGACAATGTGTATTAACAACAACTAATAAAATAGAACAATTATAACAATGTACTGTTCAAATTTTGCAGATAAAAATTCTTTCTTACTGTAGATTTTACCAATTGCAGCATATGCTTCCCCCCCTTTCCTTATTAAGTTGAGAAACTTTCACCTTTTCACTTAAAGGGAGCAGTTTACGGGTTCTTTTTGAATATCTGAATTGCCAGCATCATCATTCTTGCACTTTGGGGCTATTATTAGGTAAGATAAGGGTTACGTGAACACAAGCACTGAGATACCTTGGTGGTGCATCTGATAACGGATACTAAGTCGCTAATGGGTGGGTGGTGTCTACAACATGGATACACTGGACAAAGGGATGATTCACATCCCAGGTAGGATGCAGTGAGACAGTGAGAGATTTCATCACATTACTCAGAACAGCATGCAACTTTAAATTATGAATTGTTTATTTCTAGAATTTGCCATTTAATATTTTCAGACCATAGTTGACCATGGGTAACTGAAGCTGGGTAGGGAGAACCACTGTATATATGTGTTTGATATACTGAATGTAAAACTGTACCTTGATTATTTAAGAAAAGATCCTTCTTCTTAGCAGATGCACACTGAAATATTAAGGAGGAAAAGAGCACAACGTATGCAATATACTCTCAAATGCTTCAGAATATAGATATATGGATGTGTATACATGTGTGTGTTTACAGAGAGAGAAAGAAAATGATAAAAAATAAATAGGGGAGCCTGGGCACAGTGGCTCACGCCTGCAATTCCAGTACTTTGGGAGACTGAGGCAGGCAGATCACTGGAGTCCTGGAGTTTGAGACCAGCCTGGGCAACATGGTGAAACCCTGTCTCTACAAAAAATACAAAAAAATTAGCCTGGCATGGTGGTGTGTGTCTGTCGTCCCAGGTACCCGGCAGGCTGAGGTGGGAGGATGGTTTGAGTCCAGGAAGTTGAGGCTGCAGTGAGCCACGATCCAACTGCTACACCCCAGCCTGGGCAACTGGAGTGAGAATCTATCTATAAATAAATAAATAAATAAATAAAGGAAGTTTAAAAAAATAATGTATCTGGATAAAGAATATTCATGAGTTCCCTGAATTATTATTGCAATTTTTCTGTAAAGTTGAAAATATATTTTAAAAAGTATTTATTTTTAAAAAGAGAGCAGCTCCATGTTGTTTCTTGAGGCACCCAACACCTCTGTGACTTACCTACATACCTAAGAAGCTGCAGAGATTCTTGTGTCCTCTCGTTCCCCAAGTTCTTCCCTCCCAGGGTTTCCTTCTTGGTGAGCAGTGCCCTGGCTGCTAGTCTGAAGAAAAGTAGTTATCTTCTGGTGGTCCATGTGCTCTTAAACACATACTTACTTCCTAAACCCACCCCCTCTTTCACTTCCTCCACCTAGCACTGAGCAAACACACTCAGCCAATTGTTTCTGTTCCCATAAACACTTTGAAGTAAGGCTATCTGGGCACTGAGACAGATCCAGACATCCAAGACAGGAAATGTCTCCAGCCTGGGAAATTGCAGACAGTTTTGTTTCATGGATCAATTGTTCTGCTCCTGAGTTACACCCACTATCCTGTGGTTTATGCAGCCTGACCTTGTGCATGAATTTCAAGTTTAGTCTTTTCTTGTATTTGCTACATGTACACATGTACTTCCTTTAATTCTCTCCTATAATTTCTGCAGTGTCAAGATCTTTGGCCTTTATTTGGTCATCTCTCCAACATAATTATTTTGCTTTTCACACTTTACAAGTGTATTATGACAAGATTTAGAGTATTTGAGTCAATCATGAGTTTTCACATATCTTTACCTATACCTTTATTCCAGTTGTTCACTCTCTACTCCCTCTTTCCATTCCCCCAGCCAATAATCACATTCCCATAAAAATAACCAGATTTTGCAAATCTGATCATTTAGCCCTAGATAGGAGACTATCCAAAGCAGCACTATCCTTATCAATCCCTATAGTCTGGGTGAATAAAACCAGGAGGGTTACAATGTTGATCCTCAAGGTTCACTTCTTTAGCAAAAATTGACATTATGAGATAATATTTTTAAAATCACCCTGGAGACACTTTCCTCTTCTCCCCGACCGGAGGAGCCGCTCTTTCCGCGCAGTGCATTCTGGGGACCGAGGTCGAGCCCGCCGCTGCCGCCGTTGCCTGAGGGAAGCGAGAAGAGGCCGCGACCGGAGAGAAAACGCGGAGTCGCCGCTGGAGAGAAGTGGACTCCCTAGCAGCAGCCGCCGCCAGAGAGGCCCGCCCACCTGTTCGTCCGTCTCCCTGCCCCCTTCACAGTGCAGCCTGCTTCTGCAAAGTGGTACGATCGAAGGGACTATGTCTTCATTGAATTTTGTGTTGAAGACAGTAAGGATGATAATGTAAATTTTGAAAAATCCAAACTTACATTCAGGTGTCTCGGAGGAAGTGATAATTTTAAGCATTTAAATGGAATTGATCTTTTTCACTGTATTGATCCAAATGATTCCAAGCATGAAAGAACGGACAGATCAATTTTATGTTGTTTACAAAAAGGAGAATCTGGCCAGTCATGGCCAAGGTTAACAAAATAAAGGGCAAAGCTTAATTGGCTTAGTGTCGACTTCAATAATTGGGAAGACTGGGAAGATGATTCAGATGAAGACATGTCTAATTTTGATCGTTTCTCTGAAATGATGAACAACATGGGTGGTGAAGAGGATGTAGATTTACCAGAAGTAGATGGAGCAGATGATGATTCACAAGACAGTGATGATGAAAAAATGCCAGATCTGGAGTAAGGAATATTGTCATCACTTGGATTTTGAGAAAGAAAATAACTTCTTTGCAAGATTTCATAATTGAGAGAATTCCTGAGTTGATAGCTCTAAAGGCAGATGTTGTATTTGCCTACTTTAACCCATTTTTCAACCTGTTTGTTTTTTAAAAGGCTTCACTAAGGGTTGATATGTACCATTGTATGGGGCAATTTTAAGTCAGCTAAGGCAATAACCTTATGCATGAACATTTCCCAGACTTTCATGAAGCTGTTGAGGTCCTAGGCAATTGATGCAGCTGTTGTGATAAATACATACATCTCACCTAAGTCTCCTTTTCTTCATAACATAGATACTGACATGATAGGAAGCTCTCAGCTTAGGGAAAGAGAACTAAATTTTAGATTATAGAACATGGATTCAAAAGTGGCTGGAACAAATTGGCTGACACCTTACTGGTAACCTGCTATTCCTCTGGTGTTACCCTTCAGGATTGTTCCACTAAAATTTATTTTTCAAAAAATTTACTTCACATCATTCTATGTAAGTGTGTATCTTAGCTAAAACTAGAGAATGCCCTAACTTAGATGGTTTTTGAAGCCTATACATTTGGTATTGTTTGACCCTTAAGCTTTTACATCCTTTAGCGTGGAGGATGAAGAAAGCTGTACATTGTTGCTTAAGAGTCTGTACATTTAGACCAGATTTGTATTTGCACTGTCAAGTATGGCAAATGAGTGAAAAATGTTTAATACACTATTGGATTTTTTATTTATTTTTTTGATTCAGCTTATACCAGGGCTGAAAACCTCAGTTTATGTTCATGACAGTGGGGATTTTTTTAAATGTCTACATTCTGTCTAATAAACTGTTGGAAGACTTATTGGCTGTCCTTTTAAAAAAACAACAAATAAATAAAAAAAAAGTAAAATCACCCTGGAGACTGTTAAAGCACTATTAAAAAACCTCTGTAGACATAAACACGATCTTTTAAGATGTTTTCCTAAACTGTGGTATACAAAAATAAAAAATAAAAATAAAAGAAGATGTTTTCCTTAGTCCTTCAGGCAGAAGTTTTCAAATGGTGGTCTAGGAGCCACCTCTGTGAGTTACAAAGTCTCCTGGGCTGACTTTTCGCAGTGCTGGTGTTTATAATTCACAATAAGAACACTAACACCAACTACCAGTATTGAGCACTTCCTTTCTCAAGGCACTTACTGCATTTCACCCTCACATTTGCTTGTGCTATCCCTCTTTGGTGTCTATTTTGCCCATTTATTCTGGTGAGGTCTATTTGCAATGTGAAAAGAAAATTAAGAATTCTTCACTGAGCCCAGTAGCAGTTTAAGGTCAGCAGGGGTAATGTATTCAGCAACCACGCATCACCTGCTTCTTTATAACTAAAGTGTTTTGTTACTGCTAGAGATCATTTGAAATTAACCTTTAATTAAATATAAAGAAAGAATCTAAGTCTGTATAAGTATAACCTTTAGACCGGACAGGTTTTTATTTTCTTTTTTTTTTTTCTTTTTCTAGGCTACAGTTTTCTCATCTTCTAAATTTGAATCGTTCTTGGACATAAAATGGTTTATAATACTAAAAACAGTTTAAATAAAAAATGAACAAATTTGGATAATAGTAGCACTTACTTCACAGGGCTGTTGTAAATATTATATAAGACACTGCATGTAAAAGGCTAAATGTAGTAGTTGTTGTTGTTATTGCTCTTACATAGTGATTACCAACACATGCTCATTACCCACCCAATCAATATCATTTTCTGTTTAGAAATAGCACATGCTAAGGACCGTGGCTACCAACACTGCTCACTGGATCTTCTAGAAGAGTCAACCAGTATCCTGGAATCTTATAGAAGGAATTATGAGAAGGCTGATATAGGATGACCCTCATTTCACAAATAAAGAAGTGGCTCAAGTAAGTTAATATCCCAAATGCTACAGATAACTAATAGCAGTTCTGATACTAAAACCCCTGACTTATAGTTAAGAAAAATTTATGACAGATAAATAAGTAGATGGTGTATAAATGATAGGTAGACAGATAGATAGGTGTAAAGAGATAGCAGTAGAAAAGATTGATGTTAAAACTGAACCCTACAATTCTCCCAGTTTATTTCCTAGAAAGAGTTTTCAGGCTGTGGCACAGACAGGGAGACCCAGGCAGAGTCCGCCAGTCTTCCTGAGCTGAGGAGATAAAATTGGGGGACCAAAGAAGCCAAGGCAACTGGAGTTCACAGAGCACAGTACCAGAGAGGACAGAATTGCAGAGAGAACTTCAGAGATCCGGAGTGACAAGATACCACTGCGTATCTATCAGAATGGCTGAAAGAATAAACAGCGAAAATACCAATTGCTGGCAAGGATGCAGAGAAACTGGATACATGCATACATTAACAGTGAAAATATAGAGTGTTATGGCCACTCTGTAAAATAGTTTGTCAGATTCCTTTTTTTGTTGATACATAATAGTTGTACATATTTGTGGGGTTTTGATACATTCATACAATGTTCAATGATTAAATCAGAGTAATTGGGATATCCATTACCTCAAGCATTTATCATGTCTTTATGTTGAGAACATTCCAAATCTTCTAACCATTTTGAAATATACAATAAATTTTTGATAACTATGGTTATCCTGCTGTGCTAGTGAACACTGTAACTTACTCCTTCTAACCGTATGTGCTTACCTTACAACCCAGCAATTGCACTCCTTGGCATTTAACCCAGAGAAATGAAAACATATTTTCACATAAAAACCTGTACAGAAATAAAATAGCAGTTTTATTCATAATATTCAAAACCTGAAAACCATCCAAATGTTCTTCAGTGGGTGACATGTTAAGCAAACCATGGTACATGTACCATGGAGTACGACTCAGCAGTAAAAAGGAATGAACTATTGATACACACAATAAATTAGATGCATCTCAAGGGCATTATACTAAGTGAAAAAAATGTATCATCAAGTAGCCATGTACTGTATGATTCCATTTACATAACATGGAGAACAGATTCATAGTTTCCTGGGGCAGGGATCATTGGGATAGGGATATATGTGTGACTACAAAGAGGTATCACCAGGGAGATCTTTGTGGTGATGGAATAGTTCTGTATCTTGATTGCAGTGGTGGTTACAGGAATAAACAGATAATAAAATGACTTGTAACTACACACACACACACAGACACACACACGTCACACTGATGTTTATTTCCTGGTTTTGATATTGTACTCTTTAAGTGAGATAAAACCACTGGGGAAAACTGATGATGGGTACATGGGAACTCTCTATACTATCTTTGCAACTTTCTGTGAATCTATAATTATTTCAAAATAAAGTTTTTCAAAGTGTTAATGCTCATTATAGAAGTTTTACATAATAGTATATAGAAACACACAAATACACACACAAGACCCTCATCCTACTGTTATTTACATTTTGATGTGTATCTTTGCAATCTTCCTCCACCCAACTCAACCCCATGTTGATGTTAAGTTCAACATGTCTATTGAAACTACAAGTTGGCCGGGCACGGTGGCTCAGGCTTATAATCCCAACACTTTGGGAGGCCGAGGCAGGCAGATCACCTGAGGTCAGGAGTTCAAGAACAGCCTGGCCAACATGGTGAAACCCCATCTCTATTAAAAATACAAAAATTAGCCAGGCTTGGTGGAGGGCACCTGTAATCCCAGCTACTTGGAGACTTAGACAGGAGAATCACTTGAACCTGGGAGATGGAGGTTGCAGTGAGTCGAGACTGCACCATTGCACTCCATCCTGGGCAAGAAAAACAAAACTCCATTCCATCTCAAAAAAAAAAAAAAAAAAAAAACCAGGAAAAAAAACAAGAAAGAAAAAAGAAAACTGCAAGTTGAGATGTCAAGTGGTAGTTGGACATAGTAGATATAGCAATCCGGAGTTCAGAAGAGTCTAGTCTGGAAATATAAATTTGAGACATATCAGCATATGGTTATGTATCTGAAGTCATGAGACTGGATGACAGTGTCAAGAGAAGATTTTTTTTTTTTAACTTTGTTTTGTTTGTTTTTAAGATGGGGGAAATAATAGCTTGTTTGTTGATAGTAAAGACACAGTAGAGAGGAAAAACATAATGCAGGAGTGAAAGAAGATATTTGTTAGAGCAATAGTTTGAGTGCTCAGACAGAATAGATTGCCTGGGTTTATGTGTGTAAATGTGTTATGTTATCTATGAATTACACTTCAGGACAGTAAAAGGGAAACAACATGTTTGCTATGAAAGGTTGGATCTGGTGACGTGGTTGAGAACCAGTGGTTTGGAAGAATCAGTAATGGTTAGGGTCTTGCTACACTGTGTACGCATGAGTTTTTCCTTAATTCTTCAATTGCTGCTGCTCCAGTTGACTGGGTGTAAGAATCCAGCTCAGCTGTGGGATGGAGGCTTTGCAGGTATGAGGTCTCTCTTGGGATGTGAGACATGGGAACAGCAGAAGGGAAAGAATACTGAGCAATGCTTTTCTAATAAGGAATTAGTCTCTGTTGTGGGTCCCAAAGAAGCCATTATCTTTTTTCCTACGGATTTTTCTCATTCACATGCCCACCAGATAAACAAAGTCTGTGGTGGGGGAGGGCCACTTTTTCAGAAACCGCCATGTTATTTGAGATGACCCAGTATCTAAACACGGTCTTCCATCAGGATCCCAGAGTGCTCGATTGTGTGCAGATCACAGCGTCAGTCTACCCACCAAACACAAAGGGACCTAGCCTATTTAACATCTTCCTAGTACAGGCTTTCTTATGATATTATGTAGTATAATTCTTCTTACAGAAACGTTTCTGAAGATTATACTTTGCTTAAGGGTAGCCAGCAAAGGGGGTAAACAAATGAAAACCTAACCTATACTCTATAAACAGACCGTACAAACTAGCACTGAGTTGACTTCACCAGGAGGAAGAGCCTTTCTTCTCATTCATACAAAAATGCTGTTTGGGCTTTCTGGGGACCTAAACAGACGGCTCTACATTTTAGTTCATTTTCACATAAGTAACCTCGTGTGATCCTCACAACTTCCCCACCAAGTAAGACAGTCTCAAATTACTTCTTTAGTTTTACAATAAAACTGTTAAGTGACTCGCCTGAGGCCACATAGGTAGCGGGTGGCAGAACAGGAATGAGGCCCTGATCTGCTGACTTCCACCCATAGTTTTTTCTTTTTCAGCATCTACCTAGACTCTGATAATGTGTTCCAGTTGAAATCATTTCCATGGACCTAGAGAACAATTGGTTACCAGTGATTCCAAAAACAAT